AATCTTCAGTTTTTTTCGGATTGATTTTCGTTACTTTGCATTTTGTAATTGCTATTCTCTTTCTTTTCAATTTTTTAACATCCAGGACAAAATTTAACACCATTAGTCAAGGCAAATAATTTAATGTTGTTAATTATATATTATAATCCCTTGGGCTATGTTAAAAAATAGAGAATTTACCTGGGAAAAAGTGTCAAAACAAATAAAAAATATAATTATGCATCCCTACATCTTATTCAAGTTTTACTATAGGTTCTTGTACTTTTAGAACACTTAAAAAAAGTCCAAAAACATATAGCAAAACTCGAGTAAAGTATAAGGACTCAAAATTATATTTTTCTAATAACAAAATACAATACAATTAGAGGGGTAAATAATATAGTTATGTTTTCCCAAATTTAAAACTTGAAAAAGGTTTCTTTTTAATAGTGTTGTGTGTGTGTGAGATAGAGAAGTTTGGATTGGATACAACTAATGGAAATTGGAATGCATAGTGTGAGAGGAGAGTGTGAAATCCTGAAATAGCAAAGAAGGCAGAGTCGTCACAAAGCTTGTTCGATTCCTGCTCCAGTTTGTCTTGTACAGTATTGTCCAATGCATTTTTTTATTTCCTTTTCTTCTTTCCATGGTCCTTTTAGGAAAACACTACTTTTAATCCTCAAAAAATTTCAGTGAGGAACCTTTAATCAAACATAATAAAAAAAAGAACCCCTAAATTTTTGAAATTTCACAGTAGGACCCAATATTGAATTAAAATTAAATTTCTAATAGAAATGATAAAATTGCCCTTATTTAAATGAATAACATACTGTAAGTAAGGTAATTTATTCATTCTCATACTGTATATTGTTCATTTATTTATGAAATATTGTTTGTTTTCCTACTTCACTAGTTTATAACCCTACTTTCACTTGATTTCATTCCAAGGGATATAAACAAGTGAAATAAAGAAACGAACAATATTTTATAAGTAAATAAACAACATACAATATAAAAATACACAAGTGATCTTATCATAAAACTAACACTTGAAATGAAATTAAACAAAACTAGAGGTAATTAACAGCATTTTGTAAGTAAATAAATAACATTCAGTATAGGAATGAACAAGTCATCTTACCTAAGGTATGTTGTTAATTTAAATGAGGGCAATTTTATCATTTCTATCAAAAATTTAATTTCAATTTAGTATTGAGTCCTGTAGTAAAATTTTAGAAATTTTAGGGTTTTCTTTTTTAACATGTTTGGTCAAGGGTTCCCATTTAAAATTTTTCCTTTAATCCTTGTATTTTGCTCATATTTTAGTATAAATCCTTGCATTTTTTTCAATGTTTACATTCTCTACATTTTCCTCTGTATGCAGTGTTAATATCTACATATTTAGAGAGATATTGACATAGCACAAATATTGTTAATAAGGTCGACAAGTCAGTTAATATCATTAATTTTGTACTTACATGTCAAATTGATGCTTATATGAATTTTTTAATAAGAAATAAAAAAGTCTACATACCATGAAATAACTTAAAAGAAAAAACCTTCTGTTGATTGTTTAAAAGTCCAGGTTAGCCTTTTTATTTCATTTGATATAGTTTTTTAATTTTTTATTAAAAAATCCATACCAATATCAGTTTGACACATAAACACAATATTAATGGTGTTAATTGACATATAAGCACTATTAATTAACACCGTTTGCGCCATATTAATGTTTTTATGAAAATGTAGAGACTTGAAACACTAAAAAAAAAAGTATGGGAACCTAAAACCAAAACTTAAGCAAAATGCCATATCAAAAGTAGTGCTTTCCCTTCCTTTTAACATATGCACTGCATCTTCACCATTTTCTTTTATCGTTGTGCTTCAATATATATATATATATATATATAATTAACAAAAATATGTGGCCTCATGATATATCTAATATTTTCTTCTTATGCTTATCTGCTTCACTTTACATTTCATCAACTTCTACGATTTTGTATCTCATTTAGTCTTCTCTTCTTCATACCGCGGAGAGAAATAGTATAATTCTGCTCACTTTCTTTAGGGCATATTAATAAATTTATTTTTGTGGTTGATTTTTTTTATTCTCGAGAGTCTTTAATTTTTTTGTGATAAATGAGGAAATTACTTCTTAACTTTAGGTCTAATAACACCATAGATTTTAAATTTATTTATTGTTCAAATTATTTTCTTAACCTTTGAAAATGGTGCAATCTGACCCATGCCATTAATAAAAATTAACTTTTATCTCTAATTAATTGACTAAAAAAATAATAAAAAAGGATCGTTGACCTAGTCAATGTCTTCATTTTTGAGTTCTTTATTGTAATTTTTTTGAATTTTTTTCTAATTAATTAGCGATCAAAATTGCACCGTTTAAAAATTTGACCGAATAATTTGCACAATAATGCACCGTTTTTAAAATTTGGATGAATAATTTGCAAATAAATGATTTTAGGGTCTATAATGCTATTAGACCTAAAATTCAAGTGGTATTTTAGTCATTTTACCTTTTTTTATAGGAATTGAGTCTTTAATTTTTATTTAAATACATTTATGAATTTAACTGATAAATGGTTGTTAGAAAAAATAATGCAACTTTTAGAGAAATTGCCATGCATGATTACTTTCAGGGAAAAAATGCCATTTGTTTTATACATATGAAGAACCCGTGCAGTTTCATAAGCATGAAGGCATACTAAAAGAATACGTGTTTTATGATGAAATAAATTTATAAAAATACTCCCTCTGTCCTAACTATATATTGCCATTTAAAGTTCTTCACATAAATTAAGAAATGCTATAAAAATGAAAGAAATTATTAAAACATATTTAAAATATTACTTGGCATGCATGGACTAAAATGCCCTCATTTAATCTTTTTTTCTTTTTACCAACATTCTCTTTTCAATATAAAGAAGGATGGATACTGTCTCCACTCCTAATTATAAAGAGCCAATTCTGAGGGGTCGATATCCCAAATTATAAGATCACCTGCAAAGTTCTAGGAATAATTAAAAGACGTATGCCCCTAATATATGAATAAAATCTTATAAAACATTTTTCTAATTTATTTTTAAAGAAATTGAAATTGTAAAAATAATTAATTATTTTTACAAAGAGAGTATTAAAATATGGAAGATTTGAAACGGCTGGATGAAATTAATTCAAATGTAGTAATACTAAATTGAAGGAGTTAATGATTGTGAAAATAAAATATAGTAATAATTTGCTTGGCATGAAATTAAAGCATAGGAATTGAGAAGCCTATTTGAGCAGCGAGAGGGACAAGCTTTCTGGCAAAGACTGAGCCACCGTTTGGCTGTTCCATTCAGATGACAACGTATGGTTCCCGGCACAGCCTCCCAAGTCTCACTCTGAAACTCGCCGCATCAGGTTTTGTTCTTATTTTATCCTTCTCAAATATTATTATTCATTTTTGTCATTAATCTAAACAAATAAATTTACGCACAATAGTATTAGTTTTCTTAATTATTTTTATTTTAGACATATAATTGCACTCTCCTACAATCCCTATTTTAAGGTATCTTTAATTACCTTATCAAATTAAGAAGGACAAAAGAGATGATTAAGTTATTAATTTTTCCTCTCATAATTAATAAGTTTAATATTGGTAATATCAGTAAAATGTAATTAATTAATACCCACTAAGTGCCATATATTAAAAATCATATATCTAACTAATTAAAATCAAATTTGAGGCAAAAATGATAATATGATTTTCGACCAGAGATTAGATGTGTTTGGATAATCCTTTTATAGTTTGGCTCCTGAAATTTTACTTTTTTTAAAAAAATGATCCAAACATCCCATTTTTTTAAAACTCCGATCCATTTGATGATCAATTATAGATGTGAAACTTTATTACAGGAAGATATATATATATATATATATATGAAGTTTCACCTGAAAATCAATGATTTTAAAACTTCATTTGATGTTCAATTTTTTCTATAATTAATTATTCAATATTATCTGATTGAAATCCAAACAAACTCTAAACAAGATCTGGTTTCGTATGAAACCTTGAAAATAATATAAAACTGAATTGAGGAAAAAGACAAAATTAATAAGTGATATTCCACTTGAACACACTTCACCATTTTCCAATGGGACCTTGCCATTCAAATTATACAGAAACGGCCCCCTTTTTCTCTCCATATTTTAGGCCAGCAAAGAAGACAAATACACGTTAGAAATGGGGCAGAATTACAATTATTAATATTGAAACAAACTAGAACAAACCAGAACACTCACACATGGGGGTGCTTCACTGGTATAACAAGTTTCAGGCTATGCTTTGCAAGAGTGTAAGTGATCTCTCCCAAAAATGGGTTTTCTTTTTTCCTGCCCTTTTATGCCAAGTCCTTGATTGATTGGCTTCAATTTCCTGGGAAAGACGAAAGAATCTGCACTCCTCTTCATCTTCTCTGCCATGAACGAAATTTCACTTTGCTAATGCCTTCTTCTTGGTCGAACCATTAATTACTACCGTGTCCAGATTTGTTTAAGTCACCATCTGCAATATTAAAATACTAAAAAAAATCTGTAAGATTTGAGGGGACAGCAGAGAAGTCACTTTCTTAGTTCGAAGGTAAGAGATTACGAAGGTTTGTATTATATATTCTATTGTTTATGTTATCCATAATGTTTGTTGAATCTCTTTGTGGATCGTGTGGGTATTATGATATTTGACAGAACCAGAACCAGATGCTTTATGTTGCTTCTCTCCTTCAGATTTGATTTCAAAGCCGAGACCTTATCTCCTTTGCTTCCCTAATCCAACACAAACCGAAGATCTTTCTCCCCCTTTCACTTATCCGTACACAGGGATAGAAGAAGAAGAAGAAGAGAGAAAGAAAGAATCCCTCTCGCTTCCCTTTTATTATCCAGTTTCTCTCTCTAAAAAACCCATCTGGAGCATAAGAACGAGGAACCACTCGGAGTTTTGCGATTTTGCTTGTGAATGAGAGATGAATAATGTTGGTGTGGAACCGCAACTGCAAGAGGGAGATTTCTATGAAGAAGAAGAAGAAACAGTTGTGGCGGCGGTTAAGGAGCGAGAGATCTGGCTTCAGAATAATAACCATAGGAATAATAATAATATGCAAGATGATGATGAGGATGATCTGCTTGCCAGTGTATTGGACGACGCTTCGCTGTTCTACGCCGACGATGACTTCCCTTCTCTCCCAGATTTCTCATGCATGTCATCTTCTTCTTCTTCTTCATCTTCACCGCCAGCAGCCACAGTCAAAACCGTCACGTGCGCTTCTTCCTCCTCCACCAATACATCGTCGTCTAATTCCGCTGCTTCCTGGGCGAATCTCCGGTCCGATAATGTAGGGCCTCCTCTCCCACCGCCACAGACACAGCCGCCGGCGTTATCCTCCACTGCTTCTATGGAGATCCCGCAACCGCCAGATCATCAAGGCGGCAATAACGGCGGCGGCGGAGGAGATTGTCTGGATATGATGGGCACTTTTGGGCATATGGAATTCATGGAGACCAACGAATTCTTCGATCCTTCATCTATGTTTGAAAATGGAGAGAATCTATTAGACGAATTGACACGGTTAGACCCGAATCCACCGGAAGAGGGACATGCAAGTGGTGAAATGATAGTACAGGAGGAGCAGCAACAGCAAGAGCAGCATCAACCGCCGCCATTGCCAGAGACGGCGGCTACGGACGAAGAGATGAGCTCGGTGTTCTTGGAGTGGCTAAGGATGAACAAGGACAGCGTGTCGGCTAGTGATTTGAGGAACGTGAGGCTGAAAAAGGCGACAATAGAATGTGCAGCTAAGCGTCTTGGTGGAGGAAAAGAAGGCATGAAGCAGTTACTGAAGTTAATTCTGGAATGGGTTCAGACCAGCCATCTTCAGAAGAAAAGACGGATTATCGAAAATCAGGATGATGACAATTTTCTCATGACTCAAGTTCAGGACACCGCAAACCCTAGCTCTCATAATCTGAACCACCAGCTTTCATTTGGACCGGAATGGATCTTTCAGCCGCCTTACGGCGTTGATCCTGCTGCGGCTCCTGCAGCGGCCCCGCCGTCATTTCCCCAACCACTGGTTGGGTATAATAATAACAATAACAACCTGGGAGACCCGTTTTCAAATGGAGCTTCAAGTGAATTTCACGTGCTGGATTCTTCTCAGTCATGGCCTCATTCTCAGTTCACTGTCTACAACAACCAGCCATATGGGGAAAATAATTTACACCCGACGACAATGACGCCGTTAGCGGCAGCGGCATTTGGTGGTTATGGGAATCAGTTTCCATATCATCCATATTTTCACGGCACCGGCCCGGATAGATTGGGTCCTTTGGCGACCAAAGAAGCGAGGAAGAAGAGAATGGCGAGGCAGAGACGGCATTCATCTCACCATAGGCATCACAATGTCCAAGACCAACAAAACCAGCAGAATCAAAGTAGCGATTATTGCACAGCTGCTACAGTAGCCCCGCATGCAAATCCGCCGAACTGGTTGTATTGGCCACCGGTGGCCACGTCCGGCAGTGGAGCTGCTTCTGTTGCGCCAATGGCTCAGCCGGAGCCACCGTCGACAGCGAGAAATGCAGGGGATCGGACCGCGGTGCAGTCTCACCAGAATTATCAACATACCCGGGTCTCATCAGATAAACGACAGGTATAGCTAGCTAGATTCATCAATAAGTTTGGTCCGTAACTTGTTATCTTGTGAGATTGGAGTACGGAATTATATGAGATTACATATAGGGATGGAAGCCTGAGAAGAACTTGAAGTTCCTTCTGCAGAAGGTGTTAAAGCAAAGCGACGTGGGTAATCTGGGGAGGATAGTGCTGCCAAAGGTGATTCTTCTTTTCTTATTTTAGATTAATTATAGTTATTTGGAGCTGTCATTTATATATATATATATATATGGAATGATCAGAAAGAAGCAGAAAGTCATTTGCCAGAACTGGAGGAAAGAGATGGAATTTCTATAGCAATGGAAGACATTGGAACTTCTCGTGTTTGGAACATGCGCTACAGGTATGCTAATTAAACACCCACAGAGAGTAGATCTCTTCATTTGGGGAAATTAGATCAAGTTGCTCATACCATTAATCTAAATGAAGGGCTGAGATTTAGAACATTAGAGGGGTAGCAGTTTCTTTAATTAGTTAATGCTAGTTCTATCTTTTTGATATACATTGAAATTAAAATTTTCTCTTGGACTTTCTTTTACTTGTGGAGTATCAGATACTGGCCGAACAACAAAAGCAGGATGTATCTACTTGAGAATACTGGTGAGTATTTCTGACTTGAAGTCTTCATTTTTGCTTCTTGTTGGGTTTTATATATATATATATATATATATAAAATAAATGATTGTGCAGGAGACTTTGTGAGAGCTAACGGACTTCAAGAAGGAGACTTCATAGTGATATATTCAGATGTAAAATGCGGCAAATATGTAAGAGAGCCATTAGTTGTCATCTTGCATGTTTCTCTGTTAATTAAATTGAATTCATGTTTTTTTTGGGTGAGATATATGAAGAATAAGAATATTGTGTGGTAATTAATTAATGCTGCGGAAAACGTGTTTGCAAAACAGATGATAAGGGGTGTGAAAGTGAGGCAAGCAGGAGCGAGAGTGGAGACAAAGAAAGGCGCAGCAGGAAAAAACCAGAAGGCTAATTATGGCTCTCCATCATCACCCAAGAAGATGAACGAGAAAAAGCAATAACAAAGAGTGAATATCTATGAATGAGGTTGAATCTATGGCCAAATGGATGGTTCAGAGTTGTATGGGGTCGATGGAATCTTGGGTTAATTTTCTCAGTCCTCTCAGACTGCAAATGCGTATATCAGATTCAGAACTGAGGAGTGCCCACAGCACAGAGAAATATATAGTATTGTAATCAGCAATGTGATATATATATATATATATATATATGAATGTTTTGATGTGTATCAATAATCATTTGTAGTTACATGGTGATGGATAATGTCTGCTTTGTCTTTATTTGTGGTATGAGAGGTCGATGCTTGGGAACCCTTGACCATGTATATGCTCCAACCTTGCATGACTACACACACAAATTTTCGTATCTATCTGTTTTCGTAAAAGCAGTTCATCAAGATACTCATGTCATCATTTGTTGCATTAATAATTAGTAAAATCATTATATTTTAATAAAATTTGAGTGTGATTGTAATAGGTTTATCTGTACATTAATAAGTCACGTATGAAGTGGATTATATTAGTAGACAAAAATGCATTTAACGATTCCTTTTAATGTTAGTTTTCTTAAAATCCATTGTTAAAAAAAAAAAAAAGGCAGTGGCATGATTGTAAATTACTAGAAGATATTTAATGTCGGTTCGATACGAACCAACGTCAAATCAAGTTACAACGTTGGTTTTTTCACATCGGTCATTTAATAACCGATGTGGAAAACAAACCAGCGAAAAAAAATTAAAAAATAATATGTTTCAACGTGAAAACAAGAACGACGTCAGTCTGGTTTAAAAATTCTAGATCTGCAGTAGACGCTTCGCATACTGTTGGCGTTTTTTTCCTCCTATTCTCTCCCAGTGTCAAACTTCTTTTTTCCCCACTGCTCAAAACAACCACCGTGAGGTCCGCTGCCATTGATGATTAGAGGTCCACCGCCGTCAAGTTCATTTCCATTGAGCCACCGTCCTTTTCTATTCCAAACACCGTTCATATCTCCATTTTTGTGATTTTGAAGCTTTTAAGATGCGTTTTTTAATTTTTCTTTGTGGATCAAGTTTATTATTTAATTCGGGGTCTCCATTTGATTTATTCTTTCTTCCATTTTCTTCCATTGTGAGCGAATCTTCCGTTTCAGTTGGTGCTTGCTTCTTCCTCTTTCTTCATTGTCGGGTCTTGCTTCAAGGTTGCATTTTGATGCCCATAAATTCCAAGTATCACTACTTTTTTTTTTTCTATTTTTCTATTTGATTTATAAATTATTTTGGCTGATTATGTGTGTGTGTAAATTAAATTATATTGGTTGATTATATATTTTGATGTCCATATATGAATTAAGTATCATTTTAATGTTTTTATTTTTTTTATAATTACTATAATTCTTTTCTTTTGTGTAAAATGTTTTTGGATAGGGGAATTAAATTTATTGTGATGAATATTGTTGGATAAAGGAATAAAATTTAAAGTTAAGGATCAATTTTACCCCTAACTTGGTCATGAAAGCTCACAAATGATCCTAAACTCAATTTGAGGTCAATATTGTCACTTAACCTCAAAGATTCATTGTCTCGATACTCCCGACGTCAACTCTTCCAATTATGCCGTTATATGGGTTCCACATTTAAATTTTTTGGTGTGTCCCATGTTTTTTATATTTTTTATAATTTAAAAGATATCCTTCTCTCCTCTCTCTCTCTCTCTCCATCTCCTTCTCTCCCGTCCCTCCTCCCCACTTTCCCTCTCTCTTCTTCATTGATTCTCCTCTCCTTTATGATGTTATAACTTGGAGTGCATATGACATTAATGGGTATTTATTCTATAAAAAAATACAAGATGATAATAGTACTATTCAAAATAATGGGATAATGGTAGAAGCTGAGGCAACTCATTTTTTTAGTGTTAAAGATAAAAATCCAACTGTGACATCTTCATCATATTTTGGAGTCATTGAAGAGATATGAGAAGTTGATTATTTTAAATTTAAGGTGCCCATTTTCAAGTGCATGTGGGTTGATATTAAAATGGTGTTCAAGAAGATAAATTGAGTTTTACTTTAGTAGATCTTCATAAGGCAAAACATAAGGATGAGCTTTTTATCATGGCAATTCATGTAAAACAAATTTTTTATATTATCGATCCAGTTGATAAAAGGTTGTCCATCGTACTATTGAGAAAAAGTCTCCTTTCTCATGATGAAAATGATGAAACAAGTTTTGGCATTAAAGAGATTCCTCTTTTAATGCCAACCCAACCCTTGGTGGATGTGGAAGATGAGGATGATGTCTATGACATTAGAACTGATCATGATGAAGGCTTATGGGAGAATTAAAATATATTTATAATGGTAACATAATATTAGTGAATTTCTTTTATCCCTTTTGTTTTTTTATGCTTTCATTATTTATATAAGTTTAAATTTATTATATTTTTTACTACTAATATTATTTATCTTATTTATTTCAGGAGAAATATGGAAAATCCTTCCAGCAGTGGCATTGAAAAAGCAAAGACTAAGAGAGGTAAAAGATGGGCCACGCGACTAACTAAATTGGCCCAAGTACATGAAAAAATTTATCTTGACTTTGATGAAAAGGGCCAACCAATTGATAAGAAAAAAGGAAATATTTTTAAGAGTTTTGTAGGTTTTGTGGCTCATCAAAAAATTAGCATCTTGAAGGAAGAGTGGGATGATGTAAAAGAAAGTAATAGAGATGATATTTGGAAAACAATACTGATATTTTTAATTGCTTTATATCATATTTACTTTTTATTTTGAAATATATGTTGTTACTAAATTCATCATTGGCGTGTTTTTGCAGATTACATATGACATAAAGGAAACTCCATTTTTAAAGGACAAATGGTTAAAATATGTCAGGGATCGATGGAGGGACTTTAAGTTCAAACTTACAAGAAAATATGTGTTTCCCAAGAATGACAATAAAAATGATGATAGTGACAATGATATTGACATGGAAAAACCTTAGGAGAAATATCCATTCATTGATTATAACACATGGATGAAATTTATTCACAGTAGACACGATCCTAAATTTTTGGTAAGCGAAGGAAAAATATTATATTAAACTAGTATTATTAAAATTTTATTTTAACAAATATTTTTTATTGTTTGTTAATAGAAAAAAGTCAAAGAGGTCAAGAGTGTCGGAAGAAAAACGTATATAACCATACTATGTCTCGAGGAGGGTATGCATATGTTTATGACATAATGACTCAAGAAAAGTGGAAAGCAAAAAGACAAGTGACGGGAGTTGATAATGTTTAAGACGTTTCTCCTCCATCTCCTATTAATCGTGTACAAGCATAGAAGAGAGGACGAATGACTAAAAAAGAAGAGTATATTTTCCCAAAAGCTAGAGAAGTGGTTGAAAAAATTGTAAGTATTTTTATAGTCAACATCTCAATTATATGATTTAAGTCTACTAATTGCATTGGTTGATTATATGTTCCAGGATGCTCTTACAGAAGCATCCTTTCAAGGGACCTTTGTATCTACTGGTAGGAAGGATATATTGGCCATATCATTAGGGAGTGAAGAGCACTCTGGCTGTGTTAGGGGTGTTTCAAAAGGTATGGGCATAAGACAATATTTTGGACCACCACCATATCCTGATCTTGTACCAATGCAACAAGTACAAATGATGATAGCAGAATGCAAATCAAGCATGATGATTGAAATGCAATCAATGATTAGTAATCTCCAGATGCAATCATAACAAACACAGAACTATGGTGGTGTTCTAGATTCAGGGTGTGATCTTGACCTATCAGAGCAAGGAATGTCATGCATACTTTATGTGGAGGATCATAACAAATAAGTAGTTGTGCATATGAAAAGGTGTATAACCATGCAACTACAGTGCACCACCAATAACCGATACAACATAATCAAGTAAAATTCATAGTTGAAGAGGTTGTGGATGCCAATACTCCTGTGTTATTCCCTACTAAGGAGGTGCAAACAGTAGGACAAGCTGAGCATAATTTTATTATTTGGTTGAAAAGGCTAGCCCAACAGGTTATCGGTGAGGTATGAAAAGTTATAATTTTTATATTTCTTAATTAACATTATAGGTATTTATAATTTTTATTATATATTAATTATAAGAACTCCTACAATCAAAAGAATCTCTGGGTTCTAATTCCCAACCGGTGTAAGATTATTTGAAACAATTGGCTTCGGTGGTAGTTGATATGAATGAATTTTTTGATGAAATAAAAGTAAGCAAAATGATTTTTGGGAAGCCTATTACTTTTAGAGTCGCTAGAAAAGGCATTAATGATCTCATTATTTTTGACTGGTTGGACTTAGCAATAATTCAAGTGTTTATTATGTAAGTGTTCATTTTTATTTCTAGATTAATAATTTTATTTTCTTGCTAACATATTTTTTATCATCAAAGGCACCTCCATAAGATATGCACCAAACTTGGTGTCGATTATAATTATAAGTTCTTGTCTTCACTTTTAACTATAATCGACAAAGTGAATCAAAAAGTTTCTTATATTGAAAAGATGATATGTAGGCAAAAGAAGAGGTATTGGTTTTTATCAATTATTGAAAGGTATTAAATTTTAAATTCATCCCTCAATTTAATAAAAATTTGCTTAATGATGTGATATTAATATAAATTAAAATGTTGTAGTCATCATTAGATGCTTCTTGTCATTTGCCCATATGAAAATACTATATACTGATTTTGTTCACTACGAAAGGAAATAAGTGATGATATGAAGTCTTTGATGGAATTATAAGTCTTCAAATAATTCTATTTTGTGTTATTAATAACATATATTTAATATTTTTTAAGTGTGTATATTTGGTAAATAGATCATTAACAATATATTGGAAATCAGCAAGAATGGTTGACAAGAAAAAGAATGAAATTAAGTGGGTGCAAATGCAAGTAAGTATTTCAAATTTATTCTTTTATTAGAATGAAGATTATAATATTGATTTAATAAATTTTATTATTTTTATTTCATTATTTTTATTATCTTTATAGTGCCCTCAACAACTAGGAAGTATAGAGTGTGGTTATTATGTAATGATTTTCATGTATGAAATCATCACTCAAGGTATTATTCACTCATTTGATCAGGTAATAATTTTCTAATAATGGTTTATATTATGAAATTTGTCATATACTTGAGTTATTATTTATATATATATATATATATTGTTATTGAAATTGCAGCACTTCTAAAATTTAGAGCCATATTCTAAGCAAGAGTTGAGACATATACAGAATCTTTAGTCTCATTTTTTCTTAGAATTAATAAGGTTGGAGTAGAAACATTTTAGATATGTGTATTGAAAATGGAGATTTTAGTTGAAATGTTTGTACTATGTATATTTGTATTGACCTCTAAAGCTACTATTTATGTATTAATGCAGGTTTTATAAAGTAAGAGATATATATAATAATAGGTGATTCTATAAAAAAAGCATAGCATTTACGACCACAGTTATAGTTGTACTGTGGTAAAAAATGAATTTATAGCAACAATTGTGGTTATAATTGTCATCAAAGATGCGCCGTTCAAGCATCTTTCGCCACAAGTCCAAGAAAGACTTGTGGCGAAAGATAATATTTTTCACCACAGGTGAAGATTGGACCTGTAGGGAAAAAAAATCATCTTTTGCCACAAGTATCTCTTGGACTTATGGCAAAAGATGATATTTTTTGTCACAGGTGAAAGTAAAACTTGTGGCGAAAGATATTACACACTTATGGTGAAAGAGGCTATTTTTTGCCACAGGTCTCAACTTCACCTGTGGCAAAAAATAGTATTTTTTGCCATAGTTACATTATACTTGTCGCAAAAAATGTACATTTATGAATATAAATAATCTTTAAGATGATAGAAAATATAATCTTTAAGGTTAAGGAATATAAATAACTAATAGTTAACTTGAAGATCATTTATGACCTTGTGTATACTTCAAGAACATTTCTGACCCTTAACCTATGATACAATTACATTAAATACATTCACGTTAATCAAAAAAAGATAAAATTAAAACTTAAAAATAGTTTAAATATTACAATGTATCTTATATTTTGAACTAAAAATTACTTCTAAAATATATTCTAAAAATATGACTGAAGGGAGCATTGAAAAAATTTAAAAGGATTGGACACTTATTAACTTAGGTGGATATGATAGATAGTAGCAATCATCAAAGTGTGTATAAAAAACATTTTTTAAAAGATGATAACTTCTTAAATAATATTGTTTAAATTTTTTGAGAGATTAATTTTACTGTTGTTAGGTATCATGTTGTTAGGTGTCAAGGTAATTAAAGAAGTAAATAGATATGTAAAGTGACTTGCTTATCAAGCTATATCACATGGACATTGCTGTTCATTTTTTTCCCTGTGGAATTCTTTATGTGGCCATATATTTAAAACAAAAAATAAAGAATGAATAAGTTTAAAAAGCAACATACAAGTAAAAACAGATAAAAAGGACATTTGAATTCCCGAAGAGCAGAGCTATGGAAAGATTTAAAAAAAAAAAAAAGGAAAAAAGGTTGTTGGGCTAGCTGCTTAGTGGATTCTACCATGTAACTACAAGTGACAATTTCCTTTCCCTATTTCACATGAATGCCATTTTCATTTGCGTTTATGAAATTATAATAGCGATTCCCTATAATATAATTAAAAAAAATAAATGAGCATAAAAATAAATCTTATACTCCCTTGTTAAAAAATATAAAATATTTTTAATTAAATCTCACTTTTAATAAAATAGTTACTTATTTTCAAATTAACTCTATCTTTTTATATTTATCCCAATTTAATAAGATATTTTATCGTAAAATAAATATAATGTAATTTATTTAATTGAGAGACTTTAAAAAAAATAATAATTACACTTGAAAGTATAGTTGGTAATATGGGTCAACCTGCAGCCCGTGAGTTTGCTTGCAGTGGGTTGTGGGTTGGTATGGCTCGCATTTTTTGCAAGTTAAATTCTACCAACCCACACAACCTGCAGCTAGTTGGTGGATTAGTAGGCCAACCCACAAGTAAAAAAAGTATATTTTTAATAATTTTTTTAAATTTTAAAAATTATAAATTTATCTCTTTTTATTATTTTTTCATGATAAAAAATCTTATATTTTCCCTAAAAATTAATTATCTAAATAACAATAAAAGTCTTTCTACTTAAGACATGCTAATAATATCACTACTTAAATATAAACTAATTTAATTTTGTTATTCTTTTATTCTTTAGTCTTTTTACATGGCTGGTTAGTATTATATATATGAATTAATAGAAATACTTTTTCTATCCTCTTTTCTCTTCATCCTATTTTGACATTTTTTTCTATAAAATTGATGCCCTAATTTAAAATATCAATTCTTTTTTTAAAGAAAATAATAATGATTTAAACTTTGATTATTAAACTATTATTTATAATACATTCAGTTCATATCACCTAAACGTTGGTATGGCTCGCATTTTTTGCAAGTTAAATTCTACCAACCCACACAACCTGCAGCTAGTTGGTGGATTAGTAGGCCAACCCACAAGTAAAAAAAGTATATTTTTAATAATTTTTTTAAATTTTAAAAATTATAAATTTATCTCTTTTTATTATTTTTTCATGATAAAAAATCTTATATTTTCCCTAAAAATTAATTATCTAAATAACAATAAAAGTCTTTCTACTTAAGACATGCTAATAATATCACTACTTAAATATCACTACTTGAACGTGATCTCTTAATTAATAATATTTCTAAAAGCTTAATAAATGATAGAGCACAATGGCGTCTTGCAATCCATGTAGCCGACCCCACCTAGTGGGATAAAGGCTTGTTGTTGTTGTTGTTGTTGTTTATTCTTTTATTCTTTAGTCTTTTTACATGGCTGGTTAGTATTATATATATGAATTAATAGAAATACTTTTTCTATCCTCTTTTCTCTTCATCCTATTTTGACATTTTTTTCTATAAAATTGATGCCCTAATTTAAAATATCAATTCTTTTTTTAAAGAAAATAATAATGATTTAAACTTTGATTATTAAACTATTATTTATAATACATTCAGTTCATATCACCTAAACGTTCTAATATCCCTATATTTGTTTTTTTCCCTTTTATATTCAAATTAAGATGATAATATAATATATGGTTAGCACTTTATAATTATGTTTAATTTTATAAATAAAAGGGGCAACTAAAATTTTTTTATTTGCTAGATTGGGTAGCACTATTTTGCAAATAAGATAATTTAAATAAGCCATTATATGAATGAAATAGAGTATAATAAAATATTTTATTCAATCTTCTATTAATCACATTTAGATTATATTATATCATTGCTTAAATATATGAACAGTGTGTTTTTATTGTTTTTGCCATAATTAAACTTAAATTAAATAAATGTAAAAGTATCACAAGCAAACTTACTTTGAACTTTATTTTAAACTCAATATCATTTATTTATTTTTTTGTCTATTTTTTTAAAAAAATATAAGCGAGCTAATCCGCCAACCTATTAGCCTGCTGCGAGTTCAAGTTATGTGGTGTAGGTCAAAACTATCCCGCATATAATTGAACCCATTTTGTTTAACCCAACTTGTAACTTTTTTGCGGGTTGGCGGGCTCAACCTATATTATCAACTCTATTTAAAAGATTAAAAAGATGTTATATTTTTTAACATTTAATCCTTAAAAATATTTTATATTTTTAAATGAAGGAAATATATAATTACCTTTTTATGTTATTTTGTTTTCATATATTCGAATCATGTTTTTTGAAGGGTGAATGAATTTAAGATTTTAATTGATCGAGCTAATAATTTAACAATTTCAGTCTTGTAACTCGTGACTCACTTGTAGCTTACCTTATCTAATAGCCTTATTTTCAATTTCAACATTGACTTGTTCCTGTTTCTTAAATTTATTAGTTATACATTTTAGGTAATTACTTTTGGGTCAAATGATTTCAAATTTTCAAGAAGATCGAAAGAACTTGACATTCAGTACTTGGAAATCAATTACAACAAAATTTGTCTATATATAGTCAATTTTAACATGCTTTCTCACACAGACACCCTCATATAGTGAACTCATAGTTTTTTTAATAACTTTTTTTGTCAAGTTTTTAAACAACTTTTTGATCTTGTAAAAAAATTACTTCATAAATTTCTACGTGATTTTTTATTTGGAAAAAAGGTAATACAATAAAATTTATTAAAAAAAATTAGGAGCAAAATAATAATAAATACTTCTTTCGTCAAAAAATATAAAATATTTTTAATATAATCTTGTCCCACAATAAAATAGTTACTCACTTTTAAACTAATTTTATATTTTTATATTTATTTATATTAAATATTTTATAATAAATATAAAATCATTTATTAAAAAAATATTTATAAAAAAATAATTATATTTTAAAAAGTTAAAAATATTTTATATTTTAAAATTTTTAATTTTAAAAAAATATTTTATATTTTTAAACGAAGAGAGTGTATAATTATTGATGAAGCAATAAACGAGATTGTGCGGCTGAGAGATACGGCGGCATTCTGGTCTCACTTGCCTCGAGCTTACTTTGTAGCTGCAAGAGTTCTCGACTTCTTTCATAGCAGCGAAAGCCAGAAAATTTATGATCAAATTGACGACAGATAGGGGGAAAAATGTGTTCTTCAGTTCTTAATGTTCAGAACTCATGTCCCATTTCGTCTTACTCCCCAGATTGCTTTCATTTTCGACCCTTTGTTCTAAGCCATTCCCAATTTCTTTCGTTCAATTCCTCTCTGAAGTTCATGAATCAGCCTTTGAGATTCACTCGCGCCAAAATATCCAGAACCCGCAAACCTCGCTCTTCTTTTGTGGTTCTCGCGGTACAATCGAATTTCTTCAAAGGTAAGATTTTTCTTCTTTCTATAGTTTGTTCATTCTGGATATGTTCCGATTGGACGTTGTATTTGATCTGGGTTTAAAGTCAATGTTTTCTTTTGTTCTAATATGCTTGAATTTTGGACTGCCAAGAGTAAAATGTTTGTTTAAATCTAAATGAACTGAACTGTCAAAAATAAGGGTACTTCTGGATTTTGAGACGACGAGATTGCAGTTCATTGATATGGAAGTGGAGATAAGCTAATTTCAGAATTATTTCCAGGGTTATGAGATTATTTTGCTGGAAAATTACTGGTTTACTGGCATCGGAGACTTGGTATACATAAATAGAATCGATTTTGAATAACGCTTGGCGAAATGATTCGTAACATTTTAATTGTATAGCTGAATTTGAACTCGCTTCATCTCCTTTACTAATCTGTGTGGTGGACCATAGTAATTGATACCGATTTGGATTTTCTTAATCCTAAACAATATGCGGCTGCAGTAATCGCCCTGTTGACTACTATTTGTTGAGTAATCTTAAAGTAATAGATCATCCTTGATGTTTTAGTGGCTTCGTTTCTGTTAGAAGTGTGTTGTTTTGCGTCAATTTTATATATTTAGGATTTAGGATGATATACATAACAAAACAGGGACAGCGTATGGTAAGGAGTAGCGGGTTTAGGTAATATGCACAACCAAAACTTATGAAGAACTTGATTTAGGGTTATAATCAATCCGAACAACGCATTGTGTAAAGTAAGTCAGGTTCTCATATGGTGTGATGATTACCAAGACAATGAGCTTCATCCTTGACGAGTCGTCTAGTTGCGTAGTAAATGTAATTGATTATCATATGTGGGTATTGCTTTTGGCCAATGTTCATGCCCGTTCACTTCCAAGTCCTTATTTACTGGCATACCGGATTTTCATTTCACAAGAGTAAACATGAATCTGAGAATCAGCCCAAGTTTCAGGTATTATGAAGCCTTGATGAACCATTCTTTGTTGAGAAGTAAACACCAAACGATTAAGGCCATGTTTTTATTTTAACGATTTGGAACCCCAAAACGTATGTTTTCCCAAAAGCAATAAATTTTTTGCTTTTGGGAAAGCGTACGTTTTGGTACCCCAATATGGAAAAAGCAAACATGTGCTGTAACAGTTGTTGCTTGTTGACAGTATCATATGAGTTGCTTAAAACTTAATTCATGGTATGTTTTTGCCTTGTAATTTTTGAAGTTTTACTCTGAATGCTGCATACTTCTTCAATCAACCTAACCTTTCATTTTGATTCCTACTGCCATTGTGATTATGTTTAATAGTTCTGCAGACAACATGGAAAGTTGGGAGGGATGGAATTGAGGCGGCTGCTAATCTGGTTCCTGTAAGTTTGAATAGCCCTTTCAGAATAGCAATCCTTGGATCCGATCTTTTTATTGAATACTTTGTTCTGTTTTCTTATTCATTTTATTTTTGTTTTCTTCTATTTTTTGGCACAAGAATTCTATACCAAGACCGGTAGCAAGGATTTCTGTAACCTTTGTGGCATTGAGCCTTGCACTTTTTGTTCTGAAGTCTTTCCTCTCTACTGCATTCTTTGTACTGGTAAGTCATCTACTTTCTTTGTTTTCAGAAATTTTATATTTTGACTTTCGCTGTATTGGAAGGTTCCCAAGACAGTAAGACAAGATAAGAATTCCAGAAATCTTATTTAAATATATTTGTTCTGTACACTTCTTTGTATCAAGATCTCTTGTATTATCTGCTATACTGAAAATGGGGTCAATCATTGCTACCCGATTCAATACTCTTTTGTTCTTTTCTTAAGTAAATAAATGTCTTCAATATTTTGGCATTCTTTTAACAGCCATATTGAGTTCATAGAAACAAGTAATTTGCATGGTGCCAGGCCACAATGGGACTTGTATATTTCGCGTTCCTAGCATTCAATAAAGATCAAGGGAGAACAGAAGTCAGAGACACCACCTCCAAACCCATGGAGGATCCAGTGGAAGAAGCCAGAAAAATAATGGAAAAGTACAAGTAGTGGCATCAGAGTAAGTCATTTTCTGCATTCTACAGTCATCCATTCCATAACTATGTGGTAATGATAGCATTGAGATTTCCCTCAAATTCTTAGTTAAATAACGTTTTTAATTTTATATATATATATATATATAGAGAGAGAGAGAGAGAGAGAGTGTGAGTTTTGCTTTTCAGGAAAAATATTTTTCTCTACCTTTTAAAATGACCCTAGGTTATTAGTAAATTTTGTAATGTCCCACTTGAACTTGTTTCTGCTAGAGATATGCTCAGAGAGCCTGAGAATACTGTGACTTTTCCATCGGTGTTAGCCTGTCAAAGGAATGCTAAAAATCAAAATGAGAGCCCAAAGTTTATGCCTCTGTCCCCGCCCCCCGCCCCCCGGGGTTTTTCTTAATTTGAGTGGCCAGAGTTGGAGGTTTTACAAGTTTATGCATTTGCTTATCCTGCAGGTTTTTCACTCAAAGAATTGTAGCTGCACAACTTCATTATGTAATATACACTAAGTAGTGGGCAAATTCTACTTACTTTAATAGTACTTCGTGTAAAAGCTTTCTTAATCAAACTACACATAATATAATTTTTGAATTCCTTTTGGAACTTTGTTCGTAATTTTGTTATCCTTTTCTACGTGTTTGTTTGCCAAACTATACTTAAAAATGAGCACTAAACACTATTTCATTAGGTTATGTAATTCCAAATGGTATACAATGTCATGCAGAGCGTGACACACACACTGTCTCACTTCACAATCATCCATTGTTCTATTTGGCTTGAACTCATTATTTTATATCATCTAAACCTTATCATATTTGATGTGCTGTAAGCAGCCTAATGAGATCCATATAATTCTTGAACATGGAAAACTTATTTATTTTCTCTATTCTTACTCAGTTCTTTTTTCTTTTCCATTTTGCAAAAATATTATACTAATTCCACGCTCTAGATAGTTCAAACATCAGTGACATAAAATGAGAATTACATAATCCACCCGAAGAAGACAAAGCTAGCTGTGGATAAAGTGATATGATGCATTTCAAAATTCTATTCGTCGATGTCAATGATACAGCGTAGTCCCTCCCCCTTCAACATCAACTCAAACGCCTTGTTAATCTCAGAGAATGGAACTGTGTGTGTTATAAACTTTTCCAGTTCCAACTTCTGCAACCAAAAAAGCCAAGAATCTCAGTTTGCATCAATCTCACTCACGATATCACATGCTCACCAAATAATCACAAGGTTTCATGAGACCTAATCATTATAACAGAATGAAAAACCATAGTCACCTTGTTCATGTACATGTCAACAATAGATGGAAGGTCTGTCCTGGGCTTGTAGTTCCCAAAGAAGGTCCCTTTCAATGTTCTTTCGTTTAGCACATTGATTGGTTTGGTCATGAACACTGCATCCTTGGTGGGTACTCCTACAAGCACTGCAACTCCCCAGCCCTAAAATGTTACACACAAATTATTAACCATATAGCCGAATCCTGCCCTCATAAGGACCAATTCTACCAAAATTTGAAAGAAAATATTTAAGTTTTGAAGATCTTCAGCTGTCATTACTGATTAACAAGTTCTTGGTCATTAACCATCATTCTTTCCCCAAAATTTCTGCTATCATATGGTATGGTTATCTAATAAAAGATGGCTTACATCATGAACACATTCAAAAGCAGAGATCATGGCGTTGATGTTTCCAGTGCACTCCACACTACGGTCCACTCCACCGTTTGTTATCTCTGCAATAACCTCTTGAACTGGTTTATCATAATCCTTTGGATTTATAAACTCAGTCACTCCAAATTTCTTGGCTATAACATAATAGAAAAAGAAAACAACAGTCAGATACTGAAGTCCTTAGTTTATTAAAAAGGGGAGATCACTGAAGCGCTCATAGTTAATCAGAAAGGTGAGATTACTGAAGTTCTAAGAACAAAATCTACCTGCTTCAAATCTACTTGGATTCAAGTCAATCCCAATGATCCTAGATGCCCCAGCAATTCTTGCCCCCTCTGCAGCCTGATATTTTAGAATCTAGTCATAACTTGATCGAACAATATCATGATAAACATTGAAAATTTGTATCATAGTTATGTTTAGAGAAACGTAAGAGATCAACTCACAGCAAGGCCAACAGTTCCAAGACCAAAGACTGCAACAGAGCAACCTTTCTTTGGCTTTGCCACATTAAGAGTTGCTCCCAATCCTGAAATTTCACGAGTATTGTTCCACTCAAGTTAGTCAACGAGAAATCTAATCTAAAGCTGAAGTCTATACATCTATACATAACCTAAGAGCAAATCAGCAACTCAAATTTGTAAATTATCAGATTGTCTCAGTTTTAATATCTAAAATTAACAAACTTGTTGCATGTTAGGTTTTTTGGTCAAATGATCTGGATATAAGCTAAAAAATTAAACAAAAGTGGGACTTAACCAGTCGAAATGCCGCAGCTGAGTACACAGACTTTATCCATAGGTGCCAAAGGGTTGATCTTTGCAAGGCAGCCAGAGTGAACCACAGTGTATTCACTGAAAGTGGAAGTGCCTAGAAAGTGGTTGATAGGGTTGCCATTAATGGAGAACCTACTTTTTCCATCACTCAGCATCACTCCTCTATTTGTATCTATTCTCAGAAGGTCACACATGTTGCTCTCCTCGGACTTGCAGTGTGCACATTCTCCACATTCCCCGGTGAATACTGGAAGCACATGATCCCCTGCTTGCAAGTCTGTCACTCCTTCTCCAACACTCTCCACAATTCTGTTCATTAAGCAAATTAAGTAAACTCACACAATTCCCAAGCTAATATAAAATATCATGTAATTTTCGCAAATTTTGTAAAATGTACAAATAATTCCTTGATTTTTAAAATCTGAGAATGAATCTTTTCAAACTAATCTGTGTCATAATTAGTTTGTTTCTTTTTACTGTTAGGAGCGTGGCCTAGTTAGGGTGTAAACTATACATGATTCAAAGATACTATATAAGTATAACGCAGTTTACGGAAGCTATCTTTGTTGTCACTGATGTGTCATACTCAGTTAATGAAACAATACGGATTTTTAGCAGTTAATAAATTATCTGCACGTGATTCACTATACGGGGAAGTCGTGTCCAATTTATTAAGAAGTCTTACCCAGCTGCCTCGTGGCCAAAAATTCTGGGGAAAATAGGAGTTTGCCCCTGAAACGCAGATATATATGAATGATCAAGCCTTGATAATGGGAGAACAAACATAGTAGCATTCCACATGAGAGCTGGAATAAAAAGCGAGAGAGCGGGCAAAAATAAAGGGGGGGAATAACAAAATGAGAGACGTGAACAGTTACACAGACAGACCTTGGCCTCCCAGAAGTAGAGATCAGTGTGGCAGAGAGACGTATATTTAACCTTGATCCTCACTTCCATCGCCTGTGGGGGAGCTACCTCCACTCGTTCCATCACCAATGGTTTTCCTGCTTCCCATGCCACCGCAGCTGCTTTTTCATATATTTCATTTCATAAATTTTGCATCCATCCATGTATTTCTTGTACTAAGAACTAAATATATTGAAGCATCTCAAACGAAATGCAGAGAGGGAAAAACAAAAGAAAGAATGAAATGAACTTTAATTTGTGTTGCTGAATTTCACACGAATGAGTCTCATGTTTCTTTTCCTTTATTTAAAAATAAAATTAAAATGTATTCCAGATGACTTATTTTAGCTGTGTATTGAAAATATTAAAAATTGTTAATTTAATTTAAATTATTTTTTAAGTTCTCTTAGAAGGGTTTAAATCCTGAACTGCTACTACAAAATCCTACACTATATTACCTCCCAAGTCTTATGATAAAAATATATTCCTTCCGTTAAAAAATATAAAGTATTTTTAATTTTTTAAAGTGTAATTATTATTATTTTTTAAGTATTCTTATTAATAAATAATTTTATATTTATTGTAAGATATTTAATAGGAGTAAATATGAAAAGATATAATTGATTTAAAAATAAATAATTATTTTATTGAAGGATGAAATGTGATTAAAAATACCTTATATTTTTTAATAAGAAAAGTAAATGATATAATATTCTAAAAAAATCTAATAACTTTTTTTGAAAGATCATGTGAAGTTGAAAGGACTAGAAGAAAGACAAATCCATTAGAAAAAGATGAAATAAGCGATTGGTTGTTTACATTCATGTCAAGGATAGGGATCGCATACATCACAAAGAAAATGATATCGACCGTTAATTTACTACCTTAATCAACGGTTTTGTAGCCTTCTTGCTTTTTATTGAAAGATCGTGGGATTCTCTGGTAGAGACTTGTATGGAGTTCTTTTGATAAATTCGGGAGAGGACATAGCAACATTTCAGTCTAATTAAACACATCATTTGTTCAATTTGCGGCTCCTTGGGTGAAACTGAAATTGAAAATCTAGATTGGAATGGAACGAAACAGAACAATCAAACCTAATCTTGCCATGAAACTGAACTTTCTTCTCCGATTAGAATTTTGCTTTCGCTATATTCAGAATGAAACTAGAAGAAGATTGAATAGAAAAGGATTGTTACAGTGTCCAGCACCATCTGGTTGCGTGACTTTTCCACAACAAAGATTAACAAAACTTCTGAATCTAACATCATCACAAAAGCAACAAGAACCCCAAATTTCCGAAACAAGGAGCAATTAAAAAAGCTAGTAAATGTGTTCGTATGCGATGGATTGATTCATACCTTTGCATGGAATCGCGAGACCAGAAATGGTCGACATTGTGGTGAAATCTGCAGAAGAAGAATGCAAGTACAAATTAGGAAAAAATCTCCTCGGAATACTGCTCCTTATCGCCCGGACACAAGTCCTAAGCCTCTGAGCATGACACATCTGTCTAATATAGAAATACTAGGGGCAAACTATGTAATTTCCTTACCCCTGTTATTTTCACTCTCTATCACCTTTCAATTATATAAACATGATGTAAACAACTGTTTTTAATTTTCTAAGGACATGGTTTTTGGACCCCATGCACAATGAATAATACTTGTTGAGTTCTACAGAAAACAACAAATCAGAGTGCCAATATCAGAGGGAACGTGGAGAGATTCAATGTGTCTGCTTTGTCAGCCGAGATGAATGAATGAGACGCCCATAGATTTGATGACACTGTGGATGGAATCAAGCAGAGAATAGAATCGGTGGGAAAATGCCAATAAGCAACTTGGTTTAAGCTCTACAACTTTTGGAAGCAACGTATCAATGCTTATGAATTTGCTTGTTTCATTAAGCCATGTCTCATTTCTTACAAAAATTTCTATGTTCGAAGGGATGCGGATCCTCTGTTCATACATGCCTGTGTACATGTATGTTGTGTTGGATAATGAAATTCTTCCCTCGAGTTTTTATTAATCAATAAGAATGAATCAATCCTCAAATCAGTGTAGTCTTTATTAATCTAATCCCTTACACTATATTTTATTCTTTTATTTATTAAAATTTCTGAGAGGTTTTTTTTTACATAATTAATTATAATTTTTATTAATTTACATGGCTGCAATTAATATTTTATTATTCATGTGAGTATATTTAGTAAGAATACCCATGTAAACAATAAAATCAAATTAATAATTAAAACAAATATAAAAAACTAAATCAATAAAAACATAAATTTGAGGGATTAAAAATAAAAGTTTCATGATGCTTTGTTTTTACTGTCAGCCTGCCCAATTTTTTAAGAAAACGACAAATTTAAATTGACTTCATTTTATTCATTTTGAGTAATCAAAATCTACGGCAAGAAGCTTATGATCGGCTCAAAAGCGTGTGATAAAGGAAAACGTATCCATTTTTTATGCAGTCAAGTGCATTCAATGTAAAAGAGGAAATTGAATTCTTATTTTCATTCTGGTCAACTCTTTCTGTCTTCCTTAATGATTTAACAAAAATAATTCCACTATTCTTTCATACAAGACTCTTCTTTTTATATGGAAGCTTGTGCACAAGGCTATCCCCACTAGTGGCGTCCTCATTAATCGCCATCTTCCAAATTCAACCTTATGACCATTTGGCTGTGACATTAAAAAATAAAAAATAAAAAAAACTCTTAATCACATTTTTTATAATTGCCCCTTCACGAAATCAATCTGGTTTGGCTCTCTCTCCATGAATTCCACTAATATCTCAGAGCAAGGATTAATTGAATGGCTTATCACCTTCTCTATTGAGCTTCATTGCTCTTCCAAGTATCATATTTTAGAAGGAATTTTCCTTCTCTTACATTTGATATAGAACAAAAGAAACATAGCCATTCATCAAGCACGTTTTGTTCCGTCTCGAATCATCATGGAATTTCGAGATCAATTTAACTACCTTAAGTTTGAGTGAGAAGATAAGATGCCTAAAATTGCTCACATTAGCAACTGTCCATCAACGCTCACATTAGGCAGAATTCAAAATACAAGGGTTTGAAGACCTACAACTCTGAAATGGAAGATAAAATATACAAAGTTTTAAAAAAGGCATCTTACTAGTTGTGCGGTTGTCATCTATCTCAATGGTGAAGAGCTTCTTCGAATCCTCATTACACGTCACCCAACACGGAACCAACTCGTTTTTGTTCTGCTTGTGTCTGATCCTTTTTGCACCGGATCTACACTTTTTCAAATATTTCTTATGACTTGGATCCTTTGATGGCTAAGCCTTTTCTAGGACATCGAGATATCATCATTCACAAAGAAGGTTCTGTCGGACAGCTCTCCAAGGAGAATCAAGATGTCATAGATCGAGATTTTAATCATCTGCTTTACTGTTTTGGATGTGCCTCTATCACCAAGCAGCAAGCATACTTTTTTCTTGGTCTTTCGATTCTTTTGTTATGTCTTGTTTTTCATTAGTAACTTTTACCTTGTAATTACCTTTTATTTTATTAATACCATTTGACTTTTCTCAAAAAAAAAAAAGATTTGATAAAAATAATTGATTTAAAAAAAAATAATATCCTTTATTTAGTACAGAACTGAGTTTGTGAAGTTCAGCTTCTAAACTTAGTCACAAGTTGGCAATTGCCTTTGGGTTGACAAAAACACAGCAGAATCATATTTGCAAATAATGAGGCATATGAGGGTTTGTAATGATTTTTGTCATACGTTTGTAAAATTTATTTCTAAAGCATTCCATCGAGAAATTATTGTTAGTATCTTGGAGATAGAATCAGGTTTCGTCACTTCAACAATGGATCATGTTCCCCCGGATACTAATGGTAAAAAACTAAAAAATTCACTAAAAAATTCACATTTTTCCACTGGGATTCTTAATTATTTTATCCATTGTTTTTACTCAGGGTTTTATGCTTCTGAGATGCTAAACCTTGGCTGGATCATTATCCTTCTTACTTGATTACTTCTTTGATTACTGTGACACCATCCCAGACCACAACCACTTTTTTTTCCCCCTCATTCAATTTTCTTTTACCAATGAGATTAACGTGCAGATGTGATTCATTTTCAGGTTGCCCATACTTATAATGAATCAAATGAACAGTCATGAAAAATTTCTTTAAACAAACATGATAAACATGCACTACCAACCCAACCAGTCATGCCTCATGTTCAAACATTCAACTCATAACTGCATTATTCTACGAATACAAGTGACAGGACAACTAGTGCTGTTCAATTTATTGTATATGCACCAAAATGGGATAGCAAAACAAATGCATTACCTCAATGTATACAAGAAAAATATACGAATCACTGTGTTCCTAACGTAATTCGAATCTTATTTCACAAATTTACACGTAAAAACGAACCATTATGAAATAAATAAAGTTCATTGACGACCCTTCTTAAGAGATAGGAAGTGTGCAGCGAAGGAATCATAGTCAGGTAGCTTAGGATGAACGTGACTAGCGTCACCCTTAGAGGGAGTATCCCCATCAGCATTTGAAGAACCAGAAGCCTCTACGTTATCTGGTGTCACTGTTTTAGGTAAAGGATGGGAAGGTTGCACCTTCGCAGATGACCTTGTAACTTCATCTAAGGACTTGATAGAATCTGGGATTGGCTTGAATGCTGCTTTTTCTGTTGATGAATACCTGGGAGCTGCCAAATTATCAGAGGTCATCGTCCTGGAAGAGGCCATTTTTTGATTTTCACTCTCCTTAGAAGCTCTTGGAGATTTCCATGCAAGTCCTGAACTTGCACCAGATTTCATAGTTGTCGTCCTTCGAGAAAATCCACCAACAGGGCGGACACGACTGCCTGAATTTTGTTTGGGATATTCATCATCAGAACAACTACTATCAGAATCAAAGTAAGTATTAGAGACCTTGGAGCTTGATTTCCTCCTTGCTTCACTTTCCTCTTGCTTTTGAATGTAAGGATCTCGAGTATCAGTTGTGTTCTCTTGTGACTTCAGAACAGGGTTATAACTATTAGAATCCAATGTTTTCTGTTCTCTGAAGCCCATACTTTTATTTTCTCGGCTCACTTTACTCTGGTATGCATCCTGACTATGAGCATCAGAGTTCACTGATGCCCTCTGAGAAGGAAAAGATCCTTCATTCTGGACTGGAATTTCATCCAGTGATGATGAAACCTTATATGAGCTTTTAAGATATGGTCGCCGCCCAATACCTTTATTGCGAAACCCACCCTTCAATGATCCGTAGTTTAATTCCTTACCACTTTCTTCTATGTGAGATTCTTCCGAAGTATCAGATGACTTTGACGAGAGGACACTTGTCCTGAGATTTGAACTCAACGAAGAACTTGCTTCAGAGGGTGGCTTCTTGGTTGGCACGTCATCATACCTGTAATTCTTTTCTGGCACACTAGTGATGTCTATCTTTCCCTTAAAATTCTCTTCCACAGTATCTAAATCAGCTAAAGATGAAGATAATCCATACTTTCTGTCAGAATCAACATTTTTATCAAACAATGACGAGGGCTGGAAAGAATTTCCATGATTATAACTCTCAGAAACGTTAGACTTGACCATATCCTCCTCACCATCTGAACTCGGACCATCTGAATCATCAAAAGTCAGAGGTGGCAAGTCTTCTTTCCCAGGAGAAACAGCAGATTTTCTCAAGCTTTCAGAAACCTCAGAAAAATGTGACTGTGAACTTAAGCTTGTCTCATTCTCATCAACGTCTTGTCCAGGGTTCCAAGCATTGCTATTAGCTAATGGATCTGCATGTGATTTATTATCAATAGATGAGAAGAAAGAACCAGATCCCTGTTCCCCATACATTTTATCCACAAATTTATAATCATCACCCTCTGACTCTGAATCATCAAAAACAACAGGAGTATCATTATAAGAATTTGTTTCCATAGATATTCTGTGAGTGTTTCCTTCATCGGTAACAAAAAGGTCTCCCACAGGACTGTTGTTTACCTTTGGATCATTCAACTTGAAAACATCATTACGATCATCACTTGGCATAATAAATTGAGCAGAAGGGGAAGCTTTTCTAGACTGCCTATCCATCCTTCCATCTCCAAATAGATCATTGTTTTCAATTTCAGTATCCAAATCAGAATGCAGTTCACTGACTTCATCTACTTCAGTTCCACTCGCCCCTTTTTTCATGTTCATTTCATATAGGTAGTCACTATTTTCTCGCTTAAATGAATTATTTTCAGGATCTATATTTGCCCTTTTAGAATCAACAGCAAACAAGTTATCATCATTAAAAGAACCACTAGATATGAAGGTAGAAGACGGGGGACGATTCACCACATTCTCATAACTATTCATGTTATATTCATCAGGCGCTCTTGCAGGCCTATCTTGTTCTCTGCTTCTAATTTGCCCATAATGCATTGCAAAAGTACTACTGTGGACGATGTTATCAACAGAACCAGTAGAAATACGCTTTTCATCATCAAAAGGAGCATATTTTTGAGGTATTTCATTACTCTTGTGTGATATATGTGATCCAGTTGAATGTTGCTTGCTTGTCTTTTCACGAATTGGTTGGTCTGCAGCTGCACTAGCAGTCATTCCTGCACTTTCTGTGGGAGGACGTTTATCATCATGAAAAGCAAATTCTTGAGGAACTTCATATCTTAAAACACTTCCAGAAGAACCCTGTGATCCACTTGAATACTGCCTAATTATTCTTTCACGGTTTGAAAGTTCTGCAGCTGCTCGGGCAGCCATACTCGCATGCTCTGCAGATTCTGCAGCTGCCTGCGCAGCAGAGGCAGCATCCTTAAATTCCATGCTCCAATTTATATTATCCATAGGAACATTTCTCCTGTCTTCATAATGAGAAGCTGCAGAATCCACTTCTTGATTTCCAGTTCCTGTTAGACAGGTCCCAACAAACCATGTAATAGACAGAATATAAGTCTGAGGAGAAGTATATAATGACCATCTTCAAACAGAATAGATGATATAAAGTAACTGAAAAAAGTCACCTGATGATCCAATCCCTGGATTAGCGGTGCTTGATGTTGTTGACTTATTGCCACCAACCATTTTATGAGCAACACTAGTATTTTCATCTATATTTGTAGGCATAATTCGCATTTCTTCGTATTGAGAGGAACCGTGTAAATTAGAAGGTCCCTTTTCATCACGAATAGCTGGAACATGAACTTGAGGAGGTTCCACATAGTTACCCTTCTCAAATGCATTTGGCCCAACCTTGAAAGATCAATAATGTCAAAATAATATAATAATATAACACAGCATGATGTTTTCATAATGATACAAAATCAACTAATGATCATCCATGCTTAACAAAGCCTACCTGTGAATCTTGAGCGGGCTTTAAATCACTTTCTCCAAAAGACTTAGGTTCCCATTTTATATTATGTTCCTCAGCAATTGCAGTCAGTATTTTCATCTTAGTTGGACCATCTGGTGCTTTGGCAGACAGTTTCTCAACCAACTGAAAAGACAACATTAAGTGAAAAAAAAAATTAATAATAGATAAGCTTCAAATTAGTCCTTGTTGTAAACTTATAAGAAGGCAGAGAAACTTGCCAGGCGATTTACACCACAGTCAGGCCGTAATTCAACAGCTGCTGAGATAAATTCTTTTCCATATTTAGCTGTCATATGCTTCCTCACATCCATGAGCTCAGGTATATCTGAACACCGTGGGGATGCAAATATTACACTCGAAATTGCCTCCTTCAAATCAATAGGACAGTTTCTGATGGGAAAAAAACAATGTGAGCAGGCTCAAACAACAAGAAGCTAGATTCTCAGTTGCAAATTCAATAGTGTTCAGACACGAAAATACTCAAGCAGTTAACCCTTAAGGCAAGCACAAGGTCGCAGCATATGGTAAAATATATACACAAGTGCATCATGAAAAAAAAAAAACACATAAATGGGTGACAAAACTGAATTGAACATGATGAAAAACAATAAAGCACTGCATTACTGAAGGACCTGTTCACTGGCATGCCAAATACTTATTTTCCGCATGAAGAATAATCAAAAGGCTGATGCAGGAGCATCCAGGAGAAACCAAGAAAGCCTCACAGATCAAAGTTCTATGTAAACATATAGCAATTTTTCTTATCTTTTAATAAACACTGCATCATTCATTCAAGAACAAAGTGAACTCTCTTTAACATATCATCATCCACCATGTCCCAATAAGAAAAGTAGTGGTTGATATTACTCATACTTTTCATGCAAATTCAGATTCACCAGAATTGGGATGTTATCATGATCAACAGGATGGCTATGACATAGTTCCACCAGAATTGGGACATTACTCATATTTGCCTGCTTGCTATTCAAATCCTAGTCTGACTACAACCTCTTGGCCTCATTTCTACTATAACTGTTCCTCTTTCATACAATATTCACCAAGAGTTCCAAAACCAAAGATCACATATTTACTCGACAAAGTGTGACATGTAAGCTATATAAGAAAATTTTGTTTTGTTGGCTAAATTACCAAATATTTTAGTATAAACATCAAGGCAGACCAGCCCACAAGGTAAAAAGGTGATATTTCATTTAATTGACCAAATAGAAAACATACAGTAAACGTTGAAAACAATTTCATGATGTTGACGAAGTAGAATGCACCAAAATTATTTGGGTGAGTGTCAGATCATATACTTCTGTGATTCAATCATTGGCAAGCGTGCTGCAATCAGCTCACAGTATATTTCTATAAGATCATATGCAGCCATTGTCTTCTCTTCCCTAACAACATGTTCAACCTGAATGAACATGGAAACAGAAGTCAAGGGTCACCAAAAAAAACAAATCACAAAAAGATGAAGAAAAAGCGTTGCCAGTTGAGATATTACAAGCACAACTCATGTAACTGGCGTATTCTTTAACTCTAGTCATTTTACAATCTGGTTGTGCTGTTTTGATCCATTTCTGAGGCACTTGAACTGCCACAAGCATGTAAGATTTCAATATTCTTAGTTAGAACAGTGATAGAAGGCATCGTATCTGTGGTTTAGAAATTTTATCTTCATCCACTGGAGTGAAAGTAGTGTCAAGGTTTTTAGCGTTCTCTTCTATAACTTGCTTAACATTTCCATCACAAAACCACCACCACTTAAACCCCTCATTTTAAAGACAAAATGAACTTGAGCAATATATTTATATTATCCTGACATTTGTAGTGATGCTAGTTTTAAGGACTTTTTGATAAGTTAGAAATCCGAATGAATACCACGGATGTATCACTGGAAAGGTGGTAAGTTTTGGATTTCTTGGATTTATATTATTACCCGGATTCTAGCCGTCTGATCCTGCCCTGACTCAAGCAATTGGGCTAACTCCCTTTTGAGTTGCCTCACTTGAGTTTCTCTTTTATTCTTCAGAAGCTTTATTCGTGAAACCGCAAGTTTCAACGCTGTTTTGCTGCAGGGCAGTTCACAATACAAACAAATTGTTATTGTCAACAGAAAAACCATCTCCATCAGAAAGATTGTAAATTACAACCAGAAAGCTAACTTCAAATCAGTATAACATACAGAGACAGCGAGCAAACAACTAATTACATTTCTAGGCGAACATGGAATCTCGTATCAGTGAATTTTACCATAAGTCAATCACTAAATAATCTTATCAGTCCACTGAAATCGCTCACCAGCATAAAAAATATCGGGGAGAGAAGAATGATTATTACCATTTTGCGGGCTTGAAGCTTCGATGTAACATATCTGCTACGAAATCGGGGAGGAGACCCTGACTCTGCTTCAATCAAAAGGATTCAATACGGAGCAGTTGTGCAGATACAGAACAAGCGCGAAAACCTCAAAGAAACGGCTTTTTGATTGATTAAATTAGGCGTGAAGAGGGAGAAAACAAGAGGAAATTTGGATCGTTGTGTTCTTGCAGGTTAAGAAAAGAGAGAAAAAGTAATGATTATTGAATTTGGTGGGAATTCGGAGAAAAGAAACGGAAGAAACGCTGGAGTCCTACATGGGCAAGAGAAGGCACGCGGGACGGAATTCGGGGCTGACTTGCTCTCCCTTCGGAAAGTTCCTTCCTCCAATGACTTACCTCTTTTTAATTGTCATTTATTTTCTCTAAAAGAAACTTTGATTAGTACACCATCACATGGAGAGAGAAGGGGGGGGGGAGAGGTAAGAACTACCAAAAAATAATAATAACAATAATAATTATAATATAATAATAATAATAATAACCGGAAATTGTAATTATTATTATTATTATTATTTAATTCTAAAAAAATTTGTATGATATTTTTATTTTTTTATAAAATGGTATATTTAATCTTAGTAAGTAATATGCTTTGATAAATGGTTATTTTAGTTAGGTTATTGATTAAAATGAAATAAAAAATGATTATTTTATTTCTGAACATTTATTTATCAATGAAATGTAAGTGCAAAAGATTGGTAACTACCTTGATTAGATTATTGACTAAAACATAATAGAATACTTTATTTTTGGAAATTTGTTATTCAAAAACGAATTAAAAGTAATCACTTCTTTTTCTAAAAATAACTACTTTAATTATATTTGATTGACAAACAAATTTGTAAAAATAAAATAATCATTTTCTATTTTCTTGTAATCAATAGCCCAATTAAAACAATTATTTATCAAAGTATATTAATATATGAAGATAAATAAATCATTCTATAAAAAATCAAAATATCATACAAGTTTCTTAAGATTCAATGATAACTATTATAATTTATGATACTTAGTTATCATTTATATATTTTGAATTTTTTGTCATTTTTTTAAAAGAGAAAACAAAAAAAAAGTGCATTGCATGTTAATTTGTGTGTTAAATTTATTTGGGGGGGATTCATTTTCAAGGCAGCATCCTTCCTTTGTAAATCTTTTCCACATATTTACTCACTCCATTCAATATTATATAGCATTTTTTTAAGGGTTAATGAGTATTCTAAGTTATAAACTATTACTTAAATAATATCATAGACTTTGAACTCTTAAAATGTGAAAAAAAAATATTACTTTTTAAATTTTGAGTGCATGAAATCTTATTATTAAGTTAGAGAAAACAGCCATTATTTTTAAGGGTTAATATGAGTACCACATCAATGTACAACTAGGCCCCACAACTATAAAAATAACAATTATTTTCTACAACTTAATGACTATTATAAAAATAACAACTATTTTCTACAACTTAATGACTAAGTTTTAGGTGCTTAGAATTTATAAGTTAAGAGAAGTTTTTGTACATTTTAAGAGTTTAAAATTTAAAACGCTATTCACATAATAGTTTAGAGTTTATGATACTCATTAACTCCTTTTTTAAAAAAGACTATATTAAAAAAATATAAAGTATTTTTTATTTTTTAAGTGTAATTAAAATTTTTAACCCTTTTTCTAAAAAATGCCATTGATTAGAGAGGGTGCAATAAAGTAGTTTTTAACTGAGACCATAATTTTAAATGTTATATTCAAAAATAAAAGGAATATTGTTTATAGTTAAAAATAAGTTTAATGTTATGTTTGGATGTATAAGAATTTAGATTTGAATTTGAGCCAACTTTATTATTTGAATAATTAAAAATGCATGAATTTAAATTTAACCCAAATTCAAGTTCTACCTTAATCTCCTTATAATTTGAAATACTTTATAAATATTTATTATTTTAAATCCTACCTCAATCTTTTATAATTTGATTGGCCCGTCGGCAGCGCCAAATAAGACTAGATTGCTAAAGGAAGTCGGCCATCCAAACCATTGACTTTGGCTAGGATCGGATTATCGATATTGTCTGAGTTGCTTTTAAATTCAAACATAAAATTTGAAAATTAAAATTTTGCTTAAAATCCAAACAAATAATTTTAATATTATAATTTAAATTTTTTTATATGATCCAAACAAAGAATTTAAGATATGTAAATTTTAAATGTGAAATTTCAAATCCAAATTCTCAGTTCAAATTTACCCATCTAAATGCAACCTAATGCTATATTTGGATGCATGTGATTTGAATTTGAGCCAAATCTATTATTTGGATAATTAAAAATGTGTGGATTTGGATTTGATCTAAATTCAAATTTAAATCCTACCTTAATCTTTTTATAATTTTAAATTTTTTAAACCTTTATCATTCTAAATTTCTATGAAAACCCCTCTTTTCCTTTGCATTCGTTCGTCAACTTTGACATCACTGCCTCCGGTCGACTTCCACAAGGACCAAACCACCAATGTTGTCTAGGACTGAATCTCCGACATTGATCGAGAAGGATGGCTGATGCCAATTGGGATCAGACTTCAAGCGACAACTAGGATTGGAATGTTTGTGTCGATTGAGAAAGGACTATTGGTACCCCCGAGATTGGACGGCCAACTTTGACTTAGACTGAACGATCAGTGCTGATTGAGAATTGATCACCGCCATGGATCAAGAATGGACCATTAGTGTCAACTAGGACCAGATTGCTATAATCATCCCATGCAAATTTGTAGGCATTATTTAGGATTGAACCGCCAATGTCGACTAGGCCAAGCTGCTACTATCAATCGAGACTTGACCATTGATATAGTTTGGGTTCGGACAATTGGAATCAACCAAGACTGAGCTATCACCATTGATTTGGACCCAACCAACAACTTTGATTGGAACCAGACTACTGACTCCATTCAAATTGCCTTTAAGTTTAAACATAGAATTTAAAATTTGGAGTCGCATTTGAAATTTTTTATATCATTTAAATAAAGAATTTAAAATCTGTAAATTTTAAATGTGAGATTTTAAATTTAAATTCTTAACTCAAATCATCCATTCAAACACAACCTAAATGATTTACAATATTTCTGAGCCTAAAACTTTGCTAGTTTAAAAAAGCACACAATATTATTATTTTAAACAAATTAGGGGTCTGACAATTTTAAGGAAAAGTGTGCATCATATTGCATCAAAACCTAAACCCATCTAATTATTCTTCTCAGATTTGAATTCAAACAAGCATCGGAAATTTTGTTGGTAATTTAATATTTGGCCAAGATCAATCAGTCTTCCATATGAATGATAGTTCTCAAGCCATCGCCCTTAATCATGTAATCAAATGCCTTGTTTATTTCAGAAAGCCCAACTCTGTGCGTTATAAATTTATCCAGCTCCAGTTTCTGCACCCAAAAAAAAAAAAGGAATTAAAATTCACTTCCTTCATTCAATTATATAAATAATTAACCTTCATCGTGTTCATTGCCAGGAGCATCTTTTTCTGAAAGAAATAACAACATTTATGTGTTGTTTCTGACCTAAGCATCGTCTAAATAATTAATCTTTACAAGTTGTTGATGAGATTAGTCTAGATTAAAGATCTAGGATGTCAGAGTAAAAGCAAAAATGTAGGAAATAGGGAGGGGATGAACTCACATGATTGAGGCACACATCAATAAGAGAAGGAAGATGAGACTTGGGTTTGTAGTTGCCTAAGGTAGTGCCTTTGATGGTCCTCTCACTCAGAAACAGAAATGGATTTACCTTTACCTCTGCATCACTCTTTGGTACTCCCACAAACACAGCAACACCCCATCCCTGCACTCATTAGGTTCTCCATTGAAAACAAATATACTTCTTTCGCCCCAAAATATATAATATTTTTTATTAGCTAGTGTTGGTCTAAAATATACGTTACTTTATAAAAAAATTAAAAGCATTAAATTCTTTTTTTTTTTGCAAATATGTCCTTGTTAATTGTAGTGTGGATAGAGATTATATAAGAAAGAAATTAAAGTTAATTAAAATATATTGATTTTAATTGGAGAGGATTTTAGAAAGTAATAATATAATTTTTATCGTCTTGACATACAAACCACTTCTGACTGCTTTTGCTTAATTCTTGTAAAATTAATAAAAAATATCCTATATTTTAAAGTAGAGGAAGTAAGCTCTTTGCCTTGGACTCTATACAGAACAGGGATTAAGGTAAGAAATAAATGTTAGACCATACTTTAAACTCCAATTATATTTCCAAGAAGAAGGTTGATGAGAATAATATTACATCCTGAACAGCTTCAAAAGCAGAGGTCATGGAATCAATGTTTCCAGAGCACTCAATGCTCCTATCAACTCCACCGTCTGTCATCTCTATCAGGACCTGCATAGATTCAAACATCAAGTTCACAGTATGTTGGGAACATGTCAGGTTCATAATTGTGTAATTGTGTAATTGTGCACCTGCTGAATTGGTTTATCATGGTCCTTTGGATTCACAAACTCTGTTATTCCAAATTTCTTGGCTGTCATTGAGAGGAATCAAAAGAGGCACATTTCAAAATTTAGTCAGTCCCCCCCCCCCCCAAACCCTTTTCCAATCTAGATATCTCAATTGTATGACTTGTTGTCTTGTTTATGGAATAAAGACAATGATAATAGAAAGTCTGTTTGGAAGCAAAAACAAAAAAGAAGAGGCACCTTGCTCATATTTATCGGGATTTAAGTCAACCCCAATGATCCTGGATGCACCAGCAATTCTTGCACCTTCAGCAGCCTAATCATTGTTTAACATCAATAATTAAATAGAGTTATACATACTTTCTTCAATCCAAAATATTAGACATTTTCTTTCTGTCATGGTCGGTCTAAAATATATGACACTTTGTAAAATGTCAATAACATTAAATTTTTCTTTTCCACAAATACCTTTATTAATTATATTATAGAGATAGATTATATAAGAAAGAAACATAAATAACAAATTTTTTCTTTAAGCTCCATGTTGCAAAATATTTACTACTTTATCACACTTTAATACACATCAGCATGGACCAGGAAACAACTGAACAAAAGAGAATATTTTCCCTTAAAGGTAATTAAAATATAGTAATCTTGAAAAATAGTTATATCTTTTTTATATTTTTAATGATATAAATCACTTTTAACTACTTTTTTTTAATTCTCCAATATCTTATATTTTGGTTTAGAGGAGCATCATTTATAATTGATAATTTATGAAAGGCAGAGAGAGAGAGAGAGAGAGAGAGATGATTACAGCAAGGCCAACAGCTCCAAGACCAAAGATTGCAACAGAATCACCCTTGTTTGGTTTGGCCACGTTGAGAGCTGCCCCTAATCCTGCAATTTGCAATCCCAACGTTATAACAGATATTCAAAGTACTTGTTCAACCAACACATGCGCAAATGAGAACGGAGTGTGTGTCTGTGAAACCTGTTGAGATGCCACAACTGAGAATACAGAGTTTGTGGAGAGGAGCAGAGGGATGGAGCTTGACGAGGCAGCCAGAGTGAAGAACAGAGTACTGACTGAAAGTGGAAGTTCCTAAGAAGTGGCTCACAGGCGTTCCATTAATGCAGAACCTTGACCTTCCATCGCTGATCATCACCTCTCTCTCTGCATTTATTCTCAGAAGCTCACACATATTGCTCTCTTCTGATGACTTGCATTGCCTGCATTCTCCACACTCTCCGTTGAATACTGTCAGCACATGATCCCCTGCTTTCACGTCTCTCACTCCTTCTCCCACACTCTCTACAACCCTGTTCAATTCTAACTTCTCATTATTTATCACATTTTTCAAAAAGGGGCAATATAACTTTTAGTCCCTAAATTTCCTTTCAATTGTTGATTGGATCCCTGTTCAATTTCTAACTTTTCATTCTCTCACTTTTTTCCCAAAAGAAATATAATTTTTAATCTCTAAACATTCTCTTAATTATAAAGACTATCTAAGCCAACTATTTTTTTTTTTTTTACCAGAACAAGCTGTAGGACCCAGTTTACTTTGTTTTTTTCAAAAAGAAAATAATAATATAACTTTTAGTTATCAAACTTTTTTTAATTATCAATTTAGTCTTGAACTTTTATCTTAGTATAACTCAATTTTAATAGTTCATTGAGTGAAAGAATTATAAGAATTTTGTTGTACTCGTATCAAAAAATGCAAAATTTGAGTTGTTTCGAATCAAGAAATTATAAAGGTTAAGTTGTTTCAAATCAAATTTCAAGCATTAAATCAATAATTAAAAATCAATTCAAGGACCAAAAGTTATAGTTATTTACCAAAAATTTCTGACATATAATAAGTTACTTTCAACATATTTTATTAAAATAAAAAAATCTTAAAATCTGTTAATTTTATAAAAAATTAATAATTTTTTAACTTTATTCCTATTAAAAATATGTACTTTAATAATATATATATATATATATATTTACTGATATTTAATATAGGCTAAAAAATTTGTGACAAAAAATTAATAATATGATACATAAATAAAACAAAAAAGAAAAGAAAATCCTCTCAATCTACTTCATAACTCATAAGTAGGACCGGAGAGGCAGTATGTACGACGCTGGACAATTGACATCGCATGGTTAGTTTTAATTGGTCCATGTAATGAAAGGTGGGACACACACACAAACACCTTGAAGTCATGACTAACTTACCCAGATGCTTCATGCCCATATATGCGTGGGAACCTCTGTGACGTCCCCTGAAAATATTCGAGGTTCTTTATTTTAATTATCTCAACGCAATTACTGAATTAATCACACAAGGTAATTAACATGAATACATATTACTAAACCATGAGTCTGAAATGACCATTTTATGAAAAACTCCATTTCTGTCATACCTTTCTCTAACCAAAAACTGGGGCTCCTTTTTCAATTACTGAGAAATTAAGATTGAAGAGTGAAACTAAAAAAACATGAAGAAACCTTAGATTTCCAGAAATGGAGATCAGTATGGCAGAGTGAAGAATACTTGATGTTGACCCTCACTTCATTCTCCTTTGGTGGATCAACCTTCACTTCCTCTATCTCCAATGGCTTCCCTGCTTCCCATGCCACTGCAGCTGCAATATATATATATATATATATGAAACCAAGAACAATGAAAAGAGATTGATGTAATAAAATTAAACGAGCCAGCTAGCAGATATATATATATATATATCATGTATATGAATACCTTTGCAAGAGATCACCTTGCCAGCCATGGAGGACATGTCATTATGATTGGACAAGGAAGAACATGGAAACAAGACATTGTTTCGCAGGTGACGAAGTTGTCGAAAACCACCCCTAAGACCTAGACGATACATCTAGGGCTTTTTCTAAGATGGAGAGTAGATATAAGGAAGCCAGAAAGGATAAGAATGATCTCACCAAGTTTGAGCCCTTGTTATGAACCCCATTGTTTCAGGCGAAAATCTCATTTCTTCTGCTTTTGGAAGCAAATATATCAACTCAAAAAGCAAATTAAAGGGTCTACCACGTGACTACCTATGCGCTCTTAATTAATTTGCCAACTCATTGTGAAAGGAGCAGACAAGTGGGGTCCCATGATACCAAATTTTATAGCCTAACTGGAAAATAATCCCGTGCAACTAATCCCGTGCATTGCACGAGCAATAAGAAATTATCAATATCCTATTCAAACATTATTGTCAATAATAAATTAAATTAAATGATTAAAAAAAGAAAAAGATATAGCATCACAATTTTTTTTACTAATAATATGTCTAAATTAACAAATCAGTAAGAAAGATAATGGGAAAATATGATATTTAGATGGAGGGATATATGTTTTATATTTATAAGTGATAGTCGATGGTGAAGGTATTAGGGGCATAAAAAGTAACACAAATCTCTGAAGAAAAGAATATATTCCCTCCGTCTTAAAAGAAAGGAACATGGACTCCCGAGTGTTGAAATGATAATTATAGTTGAAGAGTATGTTATGATCAATATAATAGCCACGTTTACAACAACGAAAAAACTGAAAGAGAATGCTAAGATGACATGCTTATGTAAAAAACCATTAATTTTCATTATTATGAAAGGTTAAAAACATTCTTCAGAACTCGGGTTCTCAATTCTCTCCCTACCCGGAATGCCTAAAAGAGAATTATGTATACTCCTCTGCTCCTATTATAAGGCAGAGAGAGAATGTTTGTTTTAAATTTATTTATAAGGCACTTCAATGATTATTATATTTATCTTATTAAATGTTAAAGTATTTTATTTTAGAGTAGATATATTTAATAGGGGTAAAATTAAAAACTTATTATATTTTAAACAAAATTAATGAGATTTAAAGGTTTTTTATTTTGGGTGCAAATGCTGGAAGTGACTTCAGAGGAGAATAGTTGATATGCAAAAAAGAGACATTTAATTAAGACATTCTCAGCACATAAGGACATGTCAGAGACAAGGAAAGGCAATAAAAAGAAGAAAAAAGGTAGGTCAGTCTTCTACTTCAACAAGGCAAGCCAATTCACCCATTTGGACGATATACTTTGGGATAGGAAGTAATATTACCCCCAGTTCATGAGCATCTAGAGGAAGGCATCGCGAGGCAGTATGTGAGTTATGCCATATGATTTTGTGTAGAGTGAGGGGAAGGATTGAGGAAAGCCCACCTTCTAAATACCAAAAGACTGTATGTGCAATCCAAAATTAAAAGATGAATGAATAGACACAAATATGGTGCTTGGGACTTAAAATTTGAATCTTGACTGATCATATTGGGAATTGAAGGCTCAGAGATTAATGCGTTAGAAGTAGAAACGAAAAATTGAATGCATTGAGAGAGGTGAAGAAGTAAAGATTTTTTGAGAATAAAATTATAAGTGGATGGGGAATGAACAGATAAGAGCACGATGATAAACATCAACAATAGAAAATAATAAAATAATTAAGTTAGATTGATGATTGAAAATGTGACAATGAATTTAATTGATCAATTTGACCAAATAGAGAAAAAATGTGATGTGATAATGGAATTTTACAATGTGATAACAAATTTAATTGCCATTCAAATTTCTCATAAAAATGTGATAATGAATTTAATGACCAGTCAAGTTTCAATGATTAAGATCTAAGGATATGAATTTGGCCAATTAAATTTTATTCCCACGATTTGAGAGTTCCCTCCGTTTTTTTATAAAAAAAATATCACTTTTAATTTATTTTTATATAAAAAATTATATTTTTTAATAAGCATTTATCACAAATTTCTTAAATTACTGCTCATAATTTCCTCATTTACGGTCATAAAAAATTAATGAAAGCTTAATTAACACCATAAATAAATGGTGTTGTAGTTTAAATTTTTTATTTTCAGACACAATTAATATAGTTAATCGATTTTCTTAAATTGTGTTATACAATTTTTTCCAACAAAATAGAAACAAAGAGAGAACACTCACAACATATAAGATATAATAGATAGATACCAATTTTACAACTTACATATATATTTAGTTTTATATTTAATATATTTTTATCCAATTAAATCAAGGCATGTGAATTTTAATATGTTAATAATGTCAGCGATAAGAATTTGTCATAGAATAAATAATCTATAAAAAAATAGATGTCTTGATTTATTAAAAAAACAAACTGTAAGTATATAAAGTTAATTATATAAGTTTTTTCCTTTCAAATTCAGGAATATGATACTATATGTAGAAAATTTCGGAGTCTCTTGTGGCTTAATGCTTCTATGCTTATGCTTTACTCTACTGGTACAAATGTAAGCAGCTTTTAATTATAATTTGCATGCTAAAAATTTCATTTAAATTCATTTTTTTTTACCTTAGTTCCCAACTTTCCATGATGAATTAAATTAGAGAGAGAACATTTATGTCAATATTTTTGAATGAGGATGTCACAAAATTCAAATGAATGGGTGATAAGGGGGTGATAAATTCCCACGTTGCAACAAGAATCTATATTAAAAGTATAAAGAAAAATAAAAAATACTTTCTACGATATTAATATTTTCTCTTTTGAACAAATGTTAGCTGAAAAAACATGTCCAACAATTTGAATGGAAGGGGTATGGTGCAGCTCTGGAGTTGGATGCAAGCAGTAATTAAAATTCGGCACTATTAGCTTCTTTAATTATCTTCTTCATGCTTTTTGTATTTCTAGCCTGCTACTCCATGCTTCTTATTTTGTGTTTATGATATATGCAACGAGTTAAGTATGATGAGTCTATGTGGGATGTTAAAGATTTCAATTCAAAATTTAAATTATAAATACTGCATCTTTTTAACTCACATCACTTAATTATGTTCAGGATTTAATTTTTGGTGCAAACATTATGATATTAATAATAAATTTAAAAATATTTATTAGAAGTAAAATTTAAATTTATTAAATTTTAAGATAAAGTTAATAAATTTTAAAGTTTTTTTAATTTTAATAAAAATATGTTAAAAGTAATTTATAAATATGATTAAAAAGAATAGGATTGAAGGAAAAGGGAGGAAAGAAAAGGCCGAGTTGAGGACTGTTGTGTATGTGAGGGATAATTGGACCACTTTAACAAGAAAAATATAACCGAGAACTTCTACACTTTGCAGAAAAATATCAGAATCCCTTGAACATGTGACATATCTTGCTTTTGAGGTACTGTATGCAATTCCCCCACTTAAAAATATAATATTATTTGATTATGAATAATAATCTAATCTTGTTTGGTTAAAAGGAATGGCTGGGTTGCTGCCCGACCTGCCTATTTCAAGTTCAGGGCTTGGGGGCAACCCCATAATTCAATAAAAAATTCACTTGTAAATTACAATTTCTTTTAAAAAAAAGGAATTGTCCTGCATAACTTTTTAAATATTAAGCATACATTTTTAAAAAATATTTTTACTCTTGTGGTATAAATAAAATACAAAACAAGAATCATGGTATAAATAAAATTAATAAATATTTTTAAAAATATTAGATCATTTATTGTATATTAATTTAATTAAAATTTAGAATTATATTTTTTAAAATATTAATATTCATATTTAATAAATGCTGTCCCACTAATACATTTTTCTGAATCCGTGTGGACGTGACCCCTACGCCAACGAACAACCCCAACCCCCTCCCTGTCTCCCAGTTAAAAACACCCCCCCACACCATGTTTCCCACTGGAATACACGTGTTGTTTTTTTAAGAGTTTTTTTTATTTTAAAATACAAAATATTTTAGATAAATTAAAGTTTCCTTAAATATATCAATTTTAATATTATTTTTCTCTCTATATAATTAATTTTTATATACATTAAATTATGAATATTTTAAAAATTATATTTTTGTTTTAAAAAAATAAAGTTGTTAACTGTAGTTAATGAGATTATTAATATGTTAAATTTTATTTAAAAGTATCTTTTAATTTAGGAGGATGGAGTATTTGGAAATTTGTGTGATACTTTTATTATTTTTTTGATAGAATCTGTTATAATTTTAGAATAATTTATGATCTGCGAGAGTGGATGGGTTCTTTCCACTGTTTTCAAACCTCTTATTGTGCTTGCATTGGCGTCAAGTTCAGTAATTTTAGAAAAAATTGTGCTTAATAATCAAATGGATTAAAATTTGGGAAGAAGAACTATCGCTTGGAGATCATTGCATGTTCTAAATTTACAATCCAGTCTCAAGAGATCTTCAATAATCTCCTCTCAATTTTTCCACACATGTGATTCTATACACAGTTTTATTTCCATATGACACTAACCAAGTTAAATTTGAATATTGTTATTTGTCAAGTTCATTTGCGTGTAACTCCTAAAGATATTTTTTACATTCACACAAATTCAAAATCAAGACCTCATATTTTCAACAGTCATATTTCCTTCCACTATGACCTATATTTGTTGGTTCTTATGCACAATTTTCCCTTTCTTTAGTAATATAAATCATTTGGTGTCTGAAAGCCAATAGCTCCTATCAATCCGAACCAAACTAGGTTAGGATTCTTTTAGATGGAAATTCTCCCACTAAACACCATTGTATTATCAAAACTCAGGACTTCAGATTTCAAACTCACTTGCTAGGTTAATCAAGCACTTGTTGGCAAGTTACCCATTTGTTGTTTTTGTGCTTTGATGCATCTACTTGTTGCTTTATTCTGTTTGGGCCACTTTGTATCATTTTTTGTTTTCATTTTCATTACTTCAAATCTTTGATATGTGTTTGAACTATCAATAAGTTTGGATTCATTGGAAGAAGCTAATTCCTCTCAAAGTAATTAATCAAAGTTTGAATTCTCGTTTAAAAAAAGCACCCAAATATTAAAGTTTAAAGTATTTCAAACAAGATTATCTCCAGAAGAATACTTGCGACTTGTGGATTACCAAAAAAAAAAGATGTGTGCTTGAACTTTAGTTTTTTTATTTTTTTCAAATGCATATGTCCTTTT